TCACTCACAGTCAGACACAACCAGATACATAATCACAGCCACATAAACCCTTACTCACTGGAGAAGACGGCCACCCAAGTCCAGCCCTTAGTCACATCTACTTAGAGTCAAAGAATCTCAAGGTTGAAAGGACCTTAAGGTTATCCTATATGCCACCTCAAATACTTTCTGTGAAAAGGAGGGATATAATAAATAAATAAGAAACACTTATGTATATAAGTTAGTGAAAAACTGGTGGGAGAATCAGGGAACAATTCATGGGCATGATTTTGAGAGGCAGAGATCTGGGGTGAGGTTAGGAAGAGCATTCTGGACAAAAGAAGCAAAGAGCACAAAAGCAGGGAGGGCAGGGGGCCCATGGGCCGAGGGGTTGAGAGCGGTCTAGTGAGCTGGAGCACTCGGCAGGAGGGGCGCCAGGAGGGAAGACTGAAAAGGTGGGCTGAGAACAGACTGCAGAAGATCTTAAAAGTCAGGATAAGGAACTGGGACTTTATTCTGCAGGAAATAAGTCATTGAAAGTTTTGAGCAGAGGAGTGAAATGAACAGAATCATGTCAATTTACCCTACAAATTTTTCTTAAATCCATCTCTTTCCGTTCCTGCTCTCATCACCTAGTCAAGCACATATCACTTCTCTCCATTCCAACCTATTACAGGTGGTCTCACTGCCTCTAGCCTCCACCTCTTCTCATCCAACCTGAATTCTGTCACTGCATTGCTCGTCAAAAAAATCTCAAGGACCTCACATTCAAGTCCAGGTGCCTTAGCCTCAGGTTCAAAGCTCTCCTTAACCTGATCACACCTTTGCAACATTCTGTCCTGTATCTGCCTCACACGAACCCTTCTTCCTTGTCAGCCCAGTGTCTTCTTGGTCCCCTAAACGTGCCCATTCCTACCTTTTTCTCTTTGCTCAGGCTGCCTGGATCCTCTCTCTGACTCTGACTAGGAATATGACATCTATCTTTAAAGTCACAATAAAATTTCCCTCCTTTATAAAAGCCTTCCCTAAACCCAGCCCACACTGACTCTCCCTCCCGCGAACTGCTGAAGCTCTCAGGAGTCTGTTCCAGGACACACCGTCAGTCCCTTCTGTACTTGTATCTACCTGGCCCACAGTCAGCCTCGCCCCTCCAGAAAGGGTGGAAGCCCTCCCAGGAGCTGGGGCCAGATCTCTTCCTGAACCTCTCCTCCCTGCAGTACAGTCTACTACAGGTACTCAGGAAAGTCAGTGTTCTGGGATCCAGATCGTGGGAGGGAAGCTTGGCAGACACACTGAGGAAAGAGTCACAAAAGTGGGGAACTAAGAAAGAATGACACTAAACCCGGAAAGCCTCTGTTCATTTCACTCCTGTAGCTCACAATTCCTGCCCTGTTCCTGGGGTTTCTGTGGGTCTTGTGAGAAACAGAGAATCTTCAAAGAAGCTCCTCTTCCCCCTCCTCCTTCAAGTTTGGCTCAAATGATACCTGGAAGGCCTCTCTGAGGGCCTGGGCCTGTTCCCGGGTGCGACTGTCCTGCCAGGGCCGGCCTGCAGAGCGCGTGGGGCCTGCACGGAGACTCTCCCCAAAGACATCCAGGTAAAAGAAGACATAATCCCCATTGGTCAGGTTCTCCCTCTGGGCCTGAAGCAGGATCTCATGCAGCATCTCCAGAGGGCCGCAGATATACACAACTGGGAGCAGGTACACGACAGAGGGGCACCCTGAGAAAGCATCCAAGACCCCAGACAGCCCCCTCTCTGAACCATCTGCATTTCCATCTTTGGCAAGGAAGAGTGCTCTAACCTATCGACCACCCAGCAGATGCTCCCCACTCCTCCCCCGTGGAGTCTGTGTCGCCCGCACCCTGGGGCTGTAAGAACCATCTGGCAGAAGTCAGAGCGTGACTTCAGACCCCAGAGGAAGGGAGGTATCATCCTCCAGCCCCTCCTCTTCCCAGAGCCCTGCCTGCTGCTCCCCACCTAGCCCTCCTCACCCTGACTCTGCCCTTTCTTTCCCTGGCTCAAAGGCACTGACTGCTCAGAATTTCTCTCAGTGCAAGCCTTACCTGTCTTTCCCAACCAAATCTATTAAACCCCAAAGCCCATTTATGGAGCCCTCACTATTTTTATGCCAACAAGGGTTCTTGGTGCCCCAGTCTGAGAAGTCTCTGCTCACAAATAAGCACACATTTTGGAGCAGCTATCAACCACATTCACTACTCTAGGGCACTCATATTGCTCCCCAAATTCAATTTCCCCTCAATCCCACATTCTCCCCTGACACAAGCTTCACCCCTCATGCTATCTCATTCCTTGTTTACATCTGCTTGTGACATCCACAAGCTCCCCTGATACACTGCCTCAGCTCTCTCACAGGTGCTCTGTCCACACGCACTTCTTGACCCCAACCACCACATCCAGCTTCTCAGTGCCTACCTCCACCTACAGTTTCCCAGTGCTGAGCTCCAGGAATACAGCAACCCTCCTCCCCTGACCCTAAAATAGCCTGGGCCACACTCACTGCGCCCGTTGGCCCGGATGAAGTGGGTGGCCTGCTCAGGGCCCCCCGGCTCACGGGCATACACCTGGTGCTGCACACTGAGGTTGCTGCCCTGCAGGGCCTCAAAGACGCCCTCGATGGTGAAGTAGTGAGGCCGGTCATCTGTGCGAGCATCCAGATACAGCAAGGCAGCGCGGGCAGTCCAATTGAAGTGCCCGTGTAATGTCACTACAAACTCACCCAGCTTGGGAGCAGAGGGGCCGGTGCGCACGAGGGTACGATAATGCTCATTCTTAGCCGCAAAACCAGAGGCCACAGCACCAGCAGTCAGCAGAGGAAGGCGCCAGTGTGAGGCAAAGCGGGCCACAGAGGCAGCAGGGTACACGCAACCAGGGCCCAACAGAAGGTCAGGGTCATGGTACAGCTTGAGGTCCACAGCGCGCAGCGGTGCCAGGTACTCAGAGCAGGCGCCATCTAGTTCAGAGCTGACAAACCGCAGGTCCACGGGCAGTGCCCGGCCCAGTGCCTCCACAGCTAGTGCCACAGCAGGACCCACTCGTGGCCAGGCCCAGGCATAGCTCAGGTTGTGTTCTGGCAGCACCACCGCCAGAGTCAGGTTCCGTGCCCCGGGAGGACGCACCCCACCTGCCAGGGCTGCCACCAACAGCAGGAGTGATGGCAGTGCCATGGGGAGAAAGCAGCAGCCCCACCAACCCCAGAACCTGGGGCCCCTCTGGCCTATGGGGGAGGCACAAGCAGCACCCAGCCTGGAACCTGGGGAAGACGACCAGGAAGAGAAGTGAGGATAAGCTAGGTGAGCTGGGATACTACAGCAAGTGGTGGGGAGGGGAGAGGAGGAGGAGATGAGAGGAAGCCCCAGGGTGGGTGAGGAGTGGGTCTACCAGCCTAGGGCAAGGATGGAGGACTAACAGTAGGGTGACAGGAGGAGGGAGGGACCAAGGGGGCCTGCGCCTGGGATGGGGACAGTGAGAGGTGAAGTAGGCTGATGAATCTAAAGCTGAGAAGGAAAAAGGGATCCGTGACTGCGACGGGGTGGGGGTGGGGGGGAAGCTGGTACAAAGAAAAGGCCCGGGGGCACCTCACGGCTGAAGTGGCTGGGAGGGCAGAGAGCTGCGGGAAGGAGGGCCGCGCGGGCACGGTGGGAGGGCGCCGGCGCCGCGGAGGGACGGGGACCATGGGCGGGCGGGGAGCGAAGCGAGGCCTGGGCCGGAGGGGAGGGAGAGGCAGGGCGAGTCTCCTGTGAAGGCTTCTCCTGAAGCTCCCGCTTGGACTAACGGGCCAGGGTGCCGGTCCCAGCCGCAGCGCGGCGGCCGCCCCGTGTCCAGCTCCGCTCCCTCGGCTCCCGCTGGGCCCGGGCGCCCGGCGCCGCCCGCGCTGCCGCCCGCCCCGCCTGGGCCCGGGCGCCGCTCGTCCGCCTGCTCGCCGCGGCCCGGCCGTCTCGCTCGCTGCGCCCGCGGCGCCGAGTGTGACTCGGGGCAGGCCCGCCCGGGCGCCCCGCCCCCCCCGCCCCCCCCCCCCCCCCCCCCCCCCCGCCCCGGCCTCCGGGCTCCGCGCCCCGCCCCCCGCGCTCCGGCTCACCCCTAGCGACGAGCCCAGGGCCTCTCTTCGCGCCCCTCGCGTGTCCCGCACTTCTCAGGGTCCCCTCCCTCTACTCCCCTGAGTCCCTCAAACACTCCAGTCTCCAGGAAGCAGTCAGGAGTCCCCGGATATTTGGGATCCTCACAGTCCACCTAGTAAACCATCCCACCCTTCTCAGCGCCGGCAACCTCTCCCTCCCTCTCCAGGGAGACAGCCTGCTCGCGGGAAGACCGGCCCCTCCAGGACCGACGGGCTCCGGGTGACCGGTCTTTCCTGAGCCCTTACAAGGTCCATAAGTCTCCTTCCGTAGGACTCAGCCCTCCAATCTCTCTCTCCCTGTGCCCGTGCCCCTCTGTGTCCTCCCGCGTCCTCAGAGGGCCGCCATAGCCCGCTGGGCCTCCGCCGCACCGGCTGCCCCAGGGCAGCAGCCCAGGACCGGCCTCTTCTCCCTCTCGTCTCGCGCACAGCCCAGCCTCACACCTGACCGAAGCATTCCCCCAAGCAGCCGAAGCCCATTGTCTCCCCCTTGAGTTCCACCCCACTCCCAAACTTCCAACCTAGAAGGTTCACCCCAGAGACCCCATATCTGGAGTGCTGATCTGCTCCTCAGGAACAGCTTGTGAGGGATGATATCTTGGTTGCTGGGAGGGACTGCCATGGGCCCTGGGGAGTTTTTCTCAAATTGTCACAAAAGAGATGCACAGGAACCCATTCTTCTCCCCCTGCCGAGAGCCACAGTTTGTCTTCCCCTTCAAGGCGCTTCTCCAGAAATCCTGGTGCCAGGAAGCTGAGAGAGCTCCTTGAGTGTGGGGTGGGGTTGGGAGGAGTGCAGGGAGAGAGGAGGGGCGTAGTTTCTCTGAGATGAAGGCGACACCTAGTGGTTTTGGGGGGGAAATTAAGGACAATGCCATTTTATTCTTAGGTACAATATTTCTTTATTGAACAGTGGCTGCCTTGCACAAGCTGTAGGGTGAATACCAAAAAAGCTGAATGACACCCTTACCTTAAGGAGCATGTAACAGGAATTTGTGCTTGGGTGCACAGGCCAAAGGCAAGCCCCCCAACAATGTCTCTTGCCCCAAGCTCAGTGGAAACAGAAGCCTTAGGGCAGCTCTTACTTTAACACAGGGATGCTAACTCCAGTTCCAGCTTCCAACACTGTTAGTGAAAAGGAATTTCGTCCTATCTGAGCAAGGAAAGGAAGGACAGAACAGTCAAAAGGGTGACAGGACAATCTGAAAAAGACATGGCTCTAACTTTAGATAGAATCAACCAAATAATACTTTTTAAGCAACTACACACAGCTTAATGAGGGACGCAAATCCAAAATGACATAATCTCCACCAGAATCACAGAATTTCAGGGCTAAAAGGAATCTTATACATATATTGTTTAACACCCTCATTTAAAGGTAATTGAAAGCTGAGTCCATAGTAATTTTACTATGTTTCTTTTTCCACTGCCTCCTCCTCTCCCTTGTTGAAATACTGCATTTGAAATGTGTCTTCCTGCCTGATTTGGTCTCTCCACCGCTGTTTTCTGCCCTCTGTTGGCAGGTTCTCGTGGACCTGTCTGTCTTGTGTGCAGGAGACAGTCACGTAGAGCTCTTCTAGCCATTTTCTGCAGGTCAGCTTGGGCAGGCAGAGAGAAGACAAGAAGGTGTTTTCTTTTGCTGGCATCCTATGGGCCTGGAGGCATGGTCTGGTGTAGAGCAAACCCGAGGGTCCAGAATTTGCTGCGAAATCAAGTAGGTTATAAGACTGTTCAGTGCTGAACTTGGAGACAGTTTGGGGCACCAGGGCTTGCCATGGAGAAGGTTAGAGTGAGCCCGAGTCCCCTGGTGGTCCCAGAACTCAGCAAGGGTCTTTGAGGCTGCTTTGGCCTGAGTGTGACTTGGGTTAGGATTTCTTTCCACTAAGGAACAGGGCAGCTTGGAAACCATGCCACATGGCTTCCTCTTCCACCCTCTCCCCGAACCCTACATGGCTTTTTAATAGCAGAGCTGAGACTAGAATCCAGGTTTCCTGGTCTCTAAGATGGGGCTCTGTCAGATAGTCTTCTAACTCGCGGAACTTACCATATGAAGCCATGCTTACAAGGTAACGCCCACCAAAGACCCAGAGAGTCTTTCCGGAGCAACTGCAGATCCCGGTGAGGACTCCTAGACAAGTTCAAGCACAAGATATGACATTTTTCTGGATATTGACAACTCTAAATTTATGTTAGGGATTAAATTTCAAGCGTCTTGCTCCTTCCCTCTTCCTTCCAACTGGCTACTGATACTAGCAAGTAATAAGCAATTATTAACATTTTTTTTTTCAGATTGGCGCCTAACATCTGTTGCCAATCTTCTTCTTTCTTTTTCTTCTTCGCCCCAAAGCCCCCCAATACATAGCTGTATATTTTAGTTGTAGGTCCTTTTAGTTGTGGCATGTGGGACGCCACCTCAGCGTGGCCTGATGAGCGGTGCCATGTCCACGCCCAGGATCCCAACTGGTGAAACCCTGGGCCGCCGCAGCGGAGCGCGTGAACTTAACCACTCGGCCACATGGCCGGCCTCCAATTATTAACTATTAATAAGCAATTGCTTAATGTGATTTCTTTTTTCTTTTTTCCTTTTTTTAGCCCTGAGCTAACATCTGTGCCCATCCACCTCTATTTTATAGTGGGACACCTGCCACAGCTTGGCTTGATAAGCCATGGGTAGGTCCAAGCTGAGGATCCAAACTGGTGAACCCCAGGCTGCTGAAGTGGAGCGCAGAAACTTAACCACTACGCCACCAGGCAGGCCCCTAATGTGATTTATTAAGATCCAGTGAAAGGTTTTTGTTTTGTTTTTTCATTTTTGGGGGGAAGCTGAAAATATTAGATAAATGAGAACTTCGGTTATCTATATATTCCAATTACCCAAGCAATCATTTCTCTCATTGTTAGGGACAATGATATTTTGGCTGTATTTGGTGACCTCACTGCAACTCATACACAGCCTGGGAAATCTAAAGACCCTGAGGGGTTCCAGCTTCCTCTCTGTGGCGTTGGTATGGCCTCCTACTACTTCACAGACACCACCTATAATTTCTTCTGGCACAGGGCCAGCCCAAACACCCCTTTTCTGATCCAGAACTGAACAGCCGAGCATCAAGTTAGCAAGCTGCCATAAGCTGCTGTGGTCTCCAAGCTGCCCTGTTCCTTAGTGGAAAGAAATCCTAACCCAAGTCACACTCAGGCCAAAGCAGCCTCAAAGACCCTTGCTGAGTTCTGGGACCACCAGGAGACTCGGGCTCACTCTAACCTTCTCCATGGCAAGCCCTGGTGCCCCAAACTGACTCCAAGTTCAGCACTGAACAGTCTTATAACCTACTTGATTTCGCAGCAAATTCTGGACCCTCGGGTTTGCTCTACACCAGACCATGCCTCCAGGCCCATAGGATGCCAGCAAAAGAAAACACCTTCTTGTCTTCTCTCTGCCTGCCCAAGCTGACCTGCAGAAAATGGCTAGAAGAGCTCTACGTGACTGTCTCCTGCACACAAGACAGACAGGTCCACGGGAACCTGCCAACAGAGGGCAGAAAACAGCCGTGGAGAGACCAAATCAGGCAGGAAGACACATTTCAAATGCGGTATTTCAACGAGGGAGAGGAGGAGGCAGTGGAAAAAGAAACATAGTAAAATGTCTTGAAGGCAAAGAAAGACAATTAAAATTCTGCGTTATTTCTTTAGCCCCAGTGAGGGAGAGAGATAATCCTGAAGACAGGTCTAAACCCATTATTGCTCCTGTGGCCCACTCGCCTCCTCCTCCCTACTTGCCTCCTGCTCCGGACGGCAGTGCACAGTACGGTCAGGTCCACTTCACTCTCTAATAATGTTCAATATCCTCAAAGAGCTGCTATTATTGTTTAAAGGGTTTTTACTTTGAATTTACAAATTGCTTTCTTTTATAAGTTAAAAAGTTTTAAAATTTAAAATATTTTCAGGGGCTGGCCCCGTGGCCGAGTGGTTAAGTTCTCGCGCTCCGCTGTAGGTGGCCCAGGGTTTCGTTGGTTCGAATCCTGGGCGCAGACATGGCACTGCTCATCCAACCACGCTCAGGCAGCATCCCACATGCCACAACTAGAAGGACCCACAACGAAGAATATGCAACTGTGTACCGGGGGGCTTTGGGGAGAAAAAGGAAAACATAAAAACTTTAAAATATTTTCAAACTAGATCCCAGCTTATAACTTACCTGTCTAGATAAGTATTCTAAAAGTTGAACTGGTACCATACCCTGAGGGTCAGAAATAGCGGTTTTGTGAAAAGACAGCCCAGACAAGTAGTTTTTCCATGGAAAATGCTTCAAAGAGAGCCAATGATTCCTAAGAAGGAATTTAAGAATTGTCAGGAGAAGCAACCATGTACATTTATCTTCATGACGATTCAAGCTCCAGGTAAACCCATTTTTCACCTGTCTCCTCCATCAAAGCCTGGACCAGCACCTCTGTGAGGCCCAGGAAGGCCCCATTGGTTCCATTATTCTTCCACACTTGGCCTGTTTTCCCAAATACATATGCTGCTTTCCTATGTTCCTTTTACTACCCTTCACCATTATTACCAACCCAAGTAATTATTTACCACCCGATGGGAACATCTGATACCATAAAGCCTCAAATAAAATATGCTGTTATATTTCCTTCTCCACTCCATTTAAAAATTCTACTTTCTTCACATAATATTTCCCTGAGAAAAGGAGGCACGTATTCCCTCACCTTTTAAGGCCCGCTCAATTTAAAAATATCTCACATAAAAAGAAGCGAGAGAAACATACCGCAACAGCTTCTAGAGACTGGAAGGGTATTAATCACCATTTTAATCTTATGTTCCACTTAGAATTTCCTAGAAAAGCCAAGGACTGGTGAGAGGAGAAGAAATCTGAAGCAAGATTTGACAAAACTGTACTCTTTTTGCATGGCTGCAATGTGTCTTGAAAAAGAAAAAGAGTAGCTAGCAGTGGCAATATAGGGTTGGTTTGCAGACAGACTGACAGCAGGAAGACCAGTTAAGAGGCTCCTGGAGAGCCAAGCATGAAATGCTAAGTGCCTGGTCTAGGATGACGGAATAGTAATATGGAGAGAGAGAAACAAATATGAGATAATTTGAAGGAAGAAACGACAAGACTTGATGGCAGACTAGATCCACAGGATGAGGAGGAAGGAGTCAAAGATTGTCCCAAGGCAGGGGTCACGAAGGCAAAGGCCAGGCAGAAGATGTGAAAGCATAGAGCAACTGGGTGGGGACTTGCGAACCACGAAGCCCCCGCCCAGTCTAAAGTGGATGCTGCCACCCTGGGACGGAGCCCAGAGTTGCCAGCTCTTACAATTTTTCCTTTGGACTGTTTTGGCCTCTGTGAGAAGTCTCTGGGCCTCCAGTCTCACCTCCCTTTAATCTATCCTCCACAATGTGTTCAGATGCCAAAGTGACCTTTTGATATAAAAACCTAATTATGTCACTCCTTGCTTAAAATCCTTAAATGGTTCCCCATGGAAGCTGTGTTTCTCAAATTGTTATTTTTAGCAGCAAAACTCTCCCTTCAAACAAAAGTTTAAATGTGAAACAGAAAAGCAGCCCAGCTGCTCCAGATGAAGTAGCAGTAGTGGGCCCACAAAGTGGCGCCTCTACCCTTAGCGCCTTCTCAGACAGAGCCCTGAGCCCCTGAGCCTCTGGGCAGTACCCTTCAAACAGGGGGACACAGAGAGACTTGCCGAGGTGTGCGTGCATACAGATGACTTCAAGGGAACCCATTTCCAGATCTGTGTCTTCTATACATACTCTTTCCTAACAGGGTTGTATTCACACAGTCCTTCCCCACCCTACAACAGAAGGGCAGGTCCCTTGCCCACGCCAAGTCTCATTATGATGAATTGCTCTAGGGTATAAAAACTGCTGGACACCAAGCAAATGCATCTATCAATCAAGATATTGGTCTACGAAAATGTTTAAAGATTAATCAAGGTGCCTGAAACTCATGGGGCTTCCTGACTTTCCCCACCATACACGTTTCTGGTGAGGGGGAAGATGGCGCTGGAGGGCTGTCGAGCCCATGCTGGGAATCCCCACACGCAGCACGGCCACAGGAGGACACGTTAGTGACATAGTTTCTTTTTTTTTTTTTTTTTTATTTATTAATGTTATGATAGATTACAACCTTGTGAGATTTCAGTTGTACATTTTTGTTAGTCATGTTGTGGGTACACCACTTCCCCCTCCGTACCCTCCCCCCACCCCCCCTTTTCCCTGGTAACCACCGATCAGATCTCCTTCTCAATATACTAATTTCCACCTATGAGTGGAGTCATATAGAGTTCGTCTTTCTCTGACTGGCTTATTTCGCTTAACATAATGCCCTCGAGGTCCATCCACGATGTTGTGAATGGGCCAATTTCGTCTTTTTTTATGGCTGAGTAGTATTCCATTGTGTATATATACCACATCTTCTTTATCCAATCATCAGTTTCTGGGCATGTAGGCTGGTTCCACGTCTTGGCTATTGTAAATAATGCTGCGATGAACATAGGGGTGCAACGGACTCTTGAGATATCTGATATCAGGTTCTTAGGATAGATACCCAGTAATGGGATGGCTGGGTCATGGGGTATTTCTATTTTTAACTTTTTGAGAAATCTCCATACTGTTTTCCATAGTGGCTGTACCAGTTTGCATTCCCACCAACAGTGTATGAGGGTTCCTCTTTCTCCACAACCTCTCCAACATTTGTCGTTCTTGGTTTTGGATGTTTTTGCCAATCTAACGGGGGTAAGGTGATATCTTAGTGTAGTTTTGATTTGCATTTCCCTGATGATTAGCGATGATGAACATCTTTTCATGTGTCTATTGGCCATATTCATATCTTCTTTTGAGAAATGTCTGTTCATGTCCTCTGCCCATTTTTTGATCGGGTTGTTTGTTTTTTTGTTGTTAAGCAGTGTGAGTTCTTTGTATATTATGGAGATTAACCCTTTGTCGGATAAGTGGCTTGTAAATATTTTTTCCCAATTAGTGAGCTGTTTTTTTGTTTCAATCCTGTTTTCCCTTGCCTTGAAGAAGCTCTTTAGTCTGATGAAGTCCCATTTGTTTATTCTTTCTATTGTTTCCCTCAACTGAGGAGTTACAGTGTCCGAAAAGATTCTTTTGAAACTGATGTCAAAGAGTGTACTGCCTATATTCTCTTCCAAAAGACTTATTGTTTCAGGCCTAATCTTTAGGTCTTTGATCCATTTTGAGTTTATTTTGGTGTGTGGTGAAAAAGAATGGTCAATTTTCAATCTTTTGCATGTGGCTGTCCAGTTTTCCCAGCACCATTTGTTGAAGAGACTTTCTTTTCTCCATTGTAGGCCCTCTGCTCCTTTGTCGAAGATTAGCTGTCCATAGATGTGTGGTTTTATCTCTGGGCTTTCAATCCTGTTCCATTGATCTGTGGACCTGTTTTTGTACCAGTACCATGCTGTTTTGATCACTGTAGCTTTGTAGTATGTTTTGAAATCGGGATTGTGATTCCCGCCGGCTTTGTTTTTCTTGCTCAGGATTGCTTTAGCAATTCGCGGTCTTTTGTTCCCCCATATGAATTTTAGGATTGTTTGTTCAATTTCTGTGAAGAATGTTCTTGGGATTCTGATTGAGATAGCATTGAATCTGTATATTGCTTTAGGTAGTATGGACATTTTAAACTATGTTTTATTCTTCCAATCCATGTGCAAGGAATGTTTTTCCATCCCTTTATGTCATCGCCTATTTCTTTCAAGAAAGTCTTGTAGTTTTCATTGTATAGATCCTTCACTTCCTTGGTTAAGTTTATCCCAAGGTATTTTATTCTTTTCGTTGCGATTGTGAATGGGATAGAATTCTTGAGTTCTTTTTCTGTTAGTTTATTGTTAGTGTATAGAAATGCTACTGATTTATGCACGTTAATTTTATACCCTGCTACTTTGCTGTAGTTGTTGATTATTTCTAATAGTTTTTCTGTGGATTCTTTGGGGTTTTCTGTGTATAAGATCATGTCGTCTGCAAACAACGAGAGTTTTACTTCTTCGTTACCTATTTGGATTCCTTTTATTTCTTTTTCCTGCCGAATTGCTCTGGCCAGCACCTCCAGTACTATGTTGAATAGGAGTGGTGAAAGTGGGCACCCTTGTCTTGTTCCTGTCCTCAGAGGGATGGCTTTCAGCTTTTGTCCATTGAGTATGATGTTGGCTGTGAAAGGTATCATATATGGCCTTTATTATGTTGAGGTACTTTCCTTCTATACCCATTTTACTGAGGGTTTTTATCATAAATGAGTGTTGGATCTTGTCGAATGCTTTCTCTGCATCTATTGAGATGATCATGTGGTTTTTGTTTTTCATTTTGTTGATGTAGTGTATCACGTTGATTGACTTGCGGATGTTGAACCATCCCTGTGTCCCTGGTATAAATCCCACTTGATCATGGTGTATAATCTTTTTGATGTATTGCTGTAATCGGTTTGCCAAAATTTTGTTGAGGATTTTTGCATCTATGTTCATCAGTGATATCGGCCTGTAGTTCTCCTTCTTTGTGTTGTCCTTGTCAGGTTTGGGGATCAGAGTGATGTTGGCTTCATAGAATGTGTTAGGGAGTTCTCCATCTTTCTCAATTTTCTGGAACAGTTTGAGGAGAATAGGTATTAAGTCTTCTTTGAATGTTTGGTAGAATTCTCCAGAGAAGCCGTCTGGTCCTGGACTCTTATTTTTGGGGAGGTTTTTGATTACCGTTTCTATTTCCTTACTTGTGATTGGTCTATTCAGATTCTCCATTTCTTCCTGATTCAGTTTGGGGAGATTGTAGGAGTCTAGGAATTTGTCCATTTCTTCCAGGTTGTTCAATTTGTTGGCATATAGTTTTTCATAGTATTCTCTTATGATCTCTTGTATTTCATTGGTATCTGTTGTGATTTCTCCTCTGTCATTCCTGATTTTATTAATTTGCGATTTCTCTCTTCTTTTCTTGGTGAGTCTGGCTAGGGGCTTGTCAATTTTGTTAATTCTTTCGAAGAACGAACTCTTTGTTTCATTGATCCTTTCTATTGTCTTTTTTGTTTCAATATCGTTTATTTCTGCTCTTATTTTTATTATTTCCCTCCTTCTACTGACTCTGGGCTTTGTTTGTCCTTCTTTTTCTAGTTCTGTTAGGTGTCGTTTGAGGTTGCTTACGTGAGCTTTTTCTTGTTTAGTGAGGTGAGCCTGTATTGTGATGAATTTCCCTCTTAGGACTGCTTTTGCTGCATCCCAAATGATTTGGTATGTCGTGTTCTCATTTTCATTTGTCTCCAGATAATATTTGATTTCTTCTTTAATTTCTTCAATGATCCATTGTTTGTTGAGAAGCGTGTTGTTTAGTCTCCACATTTTTGCACCTTTCTCTGCTTTTTTCTTGTAGTTGATTTCTAGTTTAATAGCGTTATGATCAGAAAAGATGCTTGATATTATTTCAACTCTCTTGTATTTATTGATGTTTGCTTTGGTTCCCAAAATATGGTCAATCCTTGAGAATGTTCCATGTGCACTTGAGAAGAATGTGTAACCTGCTGTTTTTGGATGAAGTGTTCTATATATATCTATTAAGTCCATCTGGTCTAATTTTTCATTTAATTCTATTATTTCCTTGTTGATTTTCTGTCTGGATGTTCTGTCCATTGGTGTTAATGGTGTGTTGAGGTCCCCTACTATTATTGTATTGTTGTTGATGTCTTCTTTTAGTTCTATTAAGAGTTGCTTTACAAATTTTGGTGCTCCTGTGTTGGGTGCGTATATAAGTGTTATGTCTTCTTGGTGGAGAGTCCCTTTTATCATTATATACTGTCCCTCTTTATCTTTCTTTATCTGTTTTGCTTTGAAATCTACCTTGTCTGATATTAGTATAGCAACACCTGCTTTCTTTTGTTCATTATTAGCTTGGAGTATTGTTCTCCATCCCTTCACTCTGAGTCTGTGTTTGTCTTTGGGGCTGAGGTGTGTTTCCTGGAGGCAGCATATTGTTGGATCTTGTTCTTTGATCCATCCTGCCACTCTGTGTCTTTTGATTGGGGAGTTCAATCCATTTACATTTAGAGTGATTATTGAGACGCGGGGGCCTACCACTACCATTTTGTGTCTTGTTTTCCGGTTTTCTTCAGTTTCCTTTGTTTCTCGTCCCATGGTTTAATCTGTTCTGATGTAGAGCTGCTACTCTCTGTTGTTGTCCTTCTACTTATCTCCTCTGCTCTTGGTTTTGTAGCCCCTTTCCTTTTTTGGATTTTTCAGGAATGAGGGTTTTCCTGAGGATTTCCTGAAGAGGAGGTTTTGTGGCAATGAACTCCCTTAATTTTTGTTTATCTGGGAAAGTTTTTATTTCTCCTTCGTATTTGAAGGATATTTTCGCTGGGTAGAGAATTCTCGGCTGTAGATTTTTGTCCTTCAGATTTTTGAATATATCATTCCACTCTCTTCTAGCCTGTAAAGTTTCTGCTGAGAAATCTGCTGATAGCCTGATGGGGGTTCCTTTGTAGGTTAGTTTCTTTTGCCTGGCTGTCCTTAATATTTTCTCCTTGTCGTTGACTTTTGCTAGCTTCACTACTATATGCCGTGGAGTTGGTCTTCTTGCATTGATAAAGTTTGGAGATCTATTGGCTTCTGTCACCTGAAGATCCATCTCCCTCACCAGATTTGGGAAGTTCTCAGCCATTATTTCTTTGAATAGGTTTTCTGCCCCTTTCTCCTTCTCTTCTCCCTCTGGTATACCTATAATCCTTACGTTGCATCTCCTAATTGTGTCTGATAATTCTCGGAGAGTTTCTTCATTTCTTTTAAGTCTTGCTTCTCTCTCCTCCTCTGCCTGCAACAATTCTATATTGCCATCTTCCAAATTGCTAATTCTTTCCTCCATATTATCGGCCCTACTGTTCAGAGCATCTAGATTTTTCTTAATCTCCTCTATTGTGTTCTTCATTTCCAATATTTCTGTTTGGTTCTTCTTTATCGTATCAAACTCTTTTGTGACATAGCTCCTGAACTCGTTGAGTTGACGGTCAGAATTCTCTCTTAACTCATTGAGAATCTTAATGATGGCTGTTTTGAAGTCATCATCATTTAGGTTATATATCTCATTTTCTTTGGGATTGTTTTCTGTGTATTTG